ATGTACCATTCTCACTGTTAGGATGTGGAAAATCAAGTGTCACAGGATCCCAGAATGGTTTGGGTTGGAAGGGACCTTAAAGATCATCTTATTCCAACCCCTGCCACGGGCAGGACCACCTTCCACAAGACCAGGTCACCACACCCAACCTGGTCTTGGACACTTGCAGGGATGGGGCAGCCACAGCTTCTCTGGGCAAACAGTGATGTGGGAAACCCAGCTTGGACTGGAAATAGAGCCTGGGCCAAAAAATGGACCCACGGAGACACTGCCAGTTCCCTCACCTGAGCATATAAACCCCTTCCTTTTGCCACAGAGATCCCTTTGGGAATAACCCACACATTTTCCTTGTTCCCAGTGATACAAAAATGAGGGAAGGCACCACAATGCAGATAAAAACGAGTGTGAGATATTTTGATGTTATTGGGTCTAACCCCAGCTTCAGAGGGTCAGAAGCACCGAGCAGGGACAGGCAAAGGAGCAGCTCCTGTTCCCATCCCCAGGCCAAGGCTGGCATTCCCATTCCCAGGCCGAGGCTGGCATCCCGTGGCAGGGACTGGCATCGCGCCGCTCCAGCTGCTCCGGAAGCCAAACACACTCCCAGCTATTTGTGTTAATCCTTTCTATATTTTTTCACCTTCTGTGGCTGGAAAGCCAGGAATTCATTTCATCACAGAGACTATAACTTTTTTTTTTTTTTTTTGGATGGCCCAGAGCAAATCAACACTTCACTCCTTTTATCTCTCAGATTTCCAGTGTGTTTAAAAAAGGGATAGCTGGGAAAACATCCCTAAACAAACCCAACCAAGCTGATTGTCCCAGCACCTAATTCCCTGGTTCTGGCTTGTCAGGAGACAGAACAACCCATACCCTAAATACCACAGAGAAAGCCACTAAATAAACTTTTTCCTGGCAAGTTTATTTGCTGGCATTTGTAAATCCACGGAGGAAGTGCCAAGCAATCAATAGAGCCCAGGTCCGGGTTCTAATTAGAACTTTCTATCTGAAAACAGCTTTTCTTTAAACACTACGGGACTGCTGGTAGTGATGGAATATTCCCTAAAAATAAGAAAATGGTTCATTAGCTCTCATGGAAAGAGAAGATCAATCTGCCCTCGTGAAAGTTAATGAATACACAGAAATATCACATCCTGACCCCCGATCCCGGTGCCTGAGGCAGCAGGATTATTATGCGCTCGCCGGAATTGCTCAGCAACAGGACTCAGATACAACTCTGATTGAATTAATTCTATCTGTGTGATTACTTAAATTAATGGCATTCTGGCTGCAAGTCACAAACTTCAAGAGATGTTCGTCTGCCTAAATATTAATGATGCTTTTCTGCTGCAAGGTGTGAGAAGGGAAAGGAAAACGAAACACTAACAATTTTGGGAATAAGCATTAACAGCACTACAAGCATGAAAAATAAAAGCAGTTTCACTCAGACAAATGCTGAAAAAACCCACCTAAATCCCTGCCCTCGCTCAAGGAGGCAAAAATTGTTTTGTTAGATTTTGGTCCAGCAAAAAATGGAAGACCTTTGTTAAAGAGAAAAGACAAACAAAAGTTTTGAACTGTGATGAAAATACCTTGAGGTCTTGAGCGACTTTTGGCAAGTCCTTGTATGATTCCATGGGAATATCAAATGGAAATAGAGAGGATGTGCCCTGTGCTATTCCTCTCAGCAGCACCATAATTTACAACCATTCCATTCCCCTCAGTGCTATTTTAGATAACGGCATTTGCATTTTGTTACCTGTAATAAAAACATCTACAAAAAAGAAACATAATTTGAAGCCTTGGTATTATATTTTTTTCCCATAACACACTTGATTCCAAGATTAGCCTTTTAGGATCAGAGTTCTGCTGGACCCTCTCCCCACTGTGCTATTACCAGTTTGCTGGTTCATTCCTGCTCAAAAGACAGAATGACTTTTCTTAGCATGGATTTGAAAGCAGGGTAAGCAGCTCCATGCTTTCTCTCTGATCCCTTCTTCTCTTTACCCCTAAAACACATTCTTCCATCTTCACTATTATGAGCTGCAGGTTGGCCACTGGCCTTTTGTGGGATGAAAGGAACCAGGGGTCTGGCATTTCTGTTGGATCTTGTGGCTGAGGAGCAGCACAGTGCTACCAAGAGCTGTGTGAATGGGAGAGGTTACTCAGAGAGCCACTCGTTGGGATGACTCTGCACCACACTTCTGTGCCTTTGAAAAAGTTATCTGGGAAGCTCTGTGGATGTTCAAGGAAGAACAAGGTTGAAGGATATAAAAGGCCATGCTGGAATTCCGTGAAGCAAATGAAACCAGGCTGTAAAATTGTTACTGTCCTTTTCATACACAGCACAAGCTCAAAAAACCCTTTGTGAAGTTCTGTTAACACGGAGGGGCTGCCTGCAGGGCAGCCACTGAAGAAAATTAGTTCTCAAGGATTTGTCACACACTGACCCTTGAATCCCTGGTAACCCTGAACCCCTCAGCCCTACAAATGGGTTTGCAGCACACTTTCTGAAGTGCATCTCTTCAGACAGAACACAGCTCGGGTACCTGAGGGATCCCCACTCTGGTCCAGCATCTCTCTTCACCAGTGTATCAGGTACCATGGACACTCAACTGGCACAAACAGCATCATCATCCACACACAGTCTGCTGTGCAGTCTGAACACTCTGGCTCCAAACCAGGGAAGCTCTTTCCTTTGCCATAAATCCATTAACTACACAGGAGTAGCAAACTCTCTCACTTCCTTCAGCCAGTGACCTTGCTAACTGAGCCAGCAGTGATGCAAAGAGAACTTAAATCTGTTAGTACCAAAAATTAATACAAAGCAACTCCTTGATATTGTCTCATACACACAGTAATTCAAAGCAAAGTTACTTTTAGACTGGTTTTCCATCTTTCACAGACAGTTTCACTAGAAAGAATAATATTAGAGCTAGTTGATTTAATGACCTTTCATTTAAAGGCCAAGGTTGGAGTGGCTTTCTTTGTCCTCTTTGTAATTGAACTGTTCAAGCACAGATAGTCCTGCTATATCAATCACTGCATGAGTGAAAGGTGAATAACAGCATTTACTGAACTGTCATATCCATGATAAAACAGCAGATGCTGCCAGCTCCAAAGGGAACACATTAGCAGAAGTAAACCTGAAAGATAAAGGCCTATTAGTCATAACATGTCTTTCAATCACTTATTTATGTTAGCAGTTCAGCTTGGAAATAAAGTGAACATAGTCCTTATTTACAATAAATTAAACTTATCTTTGCACTATGGTGTTCCTTAAACAATGATGGCATATTGATTTTTTTCCTTCAGAAACACATTTACCTTCACCACACTCAGGGTTTGCTTCCCTGAGAGCCTCCCTCACCTCTAGTTCTGTTACTACAACCCTCCTGGATGTAGAAATCCAACATCTTACCTTTTTTCCGGTGTTTTACTCCACAGTTGATAATATGTTTATTAAACTGGTAGATCATAAGCCTAAAACCAGATCTTGCTGGAGTGACTGGTTACTTCAGGATGCTGTAACAGAGTAGCTGAACTGGCTTGGAAACATCTGCTTCTTCATGTTCCTGAAGAGGAATTCTGTTTAGCAGAGGGAGGTAAAGACATGAGAGAGCACACAGAGCACTTCAGGAGCTGGAATATCCCAAGGTATCAGCTGTGACCAGGCTCAGCTCTGAGCACATCCTGACTCCAGCCAAGACCTTGCCAGCCTAAAGCAGAGCAGAATTATATCAGCTGCCTTTAAAGCTAAGCCCTTTTACCTTCCCTTATGACACTTAGCTGTGCAACACAGCCTTGTTGTCTCATGTTCTTCCACATGCAAACTGCTACAGCCCCTCCATCCCTTCCAAAGGGCTGCTCTCTTGTTCCCCTTCCCATTAGGTATTTGGGTAGTCAGTTAAGCCTTGCTTAAGAACCACTTGTCCCTACTGAATTTCTTTGATTAATTCTGTATTCTAATGTTCCCGTGTCTTTCCTTCCCATGTCATAGATCTGCAGATTTAATAAGCACACTCCCCACTGCTCCATCCCACATTAACCACAGCTGGGAGCAGACAGTAGATATCCTAATCCAGCAGGAACACTGACAGCACCTCTGAGCACAGCTCACCGTGGAAGCAGAGTTTGGAAATCTACTTGTAAGCATCATCTGGGTCATAATCAACATCACATCCTCCCAGTCTGCTTTAAAACTTCATATTCATATTAAAAGCCAAGATATTTGTTATTTTCACTCCAAGACTATCACTTCTGTCCTCTGAGAAAATCAGTCTGTGCCAACTCATTCTCCATAAATATGAACAAATGAGGCTCATTCTCTACAAACCTACTCTGGCCACTGTGCTCTTTTACTTCTCTTCTGGGATATCTGCTGAAAAATGAGCTGCTGACATTATACATGCCTGGAGAAATGCAATTACCATGAGGTTTTTTGGTATCCCATATTTTACCAATTAAAAATATGCAGAGACCACACTCCCCCTTATTCCTTAAGCTTGTTAGATGAGCAGGAATGAGGGGGTTAAAGATGATCAGTCTTATCTAACCTGATCAGGCCTTCTCACCCAGAACTTGTTAACAAACTGATTTGCCTACACCTGAGTCATTCACTAACATTCAGGATAATCACAATTTTCTGTCCACAGCTGTTCTCCAATTCTGACCACTTGGCACAGCAACAGCAGTCAAATGTGCTATTTTTGAAAGCCTCTTTTCTGTTAAATTGAGATGAAGCTATCAAAGTAGTGTCTAACATGGATGCTGTCAAAAAAACCCAGAAAAAAATCATCTTTCTGCCACAAAATATTTGTGGCATTGTGAGATTCCTGTTGAATCTCCTACTCTGCTTCCCTAAAACTCCCAACTAGTGGATGTGTGGCTTTGGCTATCAAGGAAACTACTGTCCTTCTTTCTAGTGCCCTAATGGCTCCACAAGAGCTGTGTGTGATACCACCAGTGATGACAAAAAGCACTGCACCACAAATTCAGTGGGAATTTTTTTATTTTAAACGTTTACAGAGATGGAAATAAATACAGGAAAGAGAAGATAGAGAGGGTGCTTTTAAAAGAAATCAATCAAGTCTTTTCATCAGGCTTCAAACAGGAAAAATTGTATCCAAGAGCTGCTTAAAACTGGCCACCATTCCAAAGGGCAAGGATTAGGTTAACAATAATGCAAATAACTAAAGATAAGCATTGCCACAAACAAGGGTGACACAGCAGTGAACACACAGCTGTAAGAGACAAAAGGGAATCACACTACCACAGGAGAGTCTCATATATTTACAACATACCTATCATACAAAATCATTCAGAAGTATTTAGGGAGTGGTTTCTTCTCTGTCCAACTGTAAGATATAAAAGATACATCAGAGGGGTTTGCTGGGTTTGTTCCTCTCCCCAATAATGGTTTCAGCTTTTGTCAAAGTTTAGAAAATCCTTTGTATTGCAAGAATCTTTCATCCAACCTGAACTTCTCCACATTTCCATCCTTATCATCATCATCATCATCATCACTGTCATCCACAGGGGCAGTTGGTCAGAGGATAAGAGTTTGTGAAGTTCTTTACAGTCTTTTATCGATGGTCTGACCTGTAGGTTGGAAAAGTGTCCGTGCGATGAAGCTTCACTGGGCTGGAAACATCTTCACCAAGTCAGATGCAAAAAAAACAGAACAACTCTCAGTAAGACACAGGCACCTCAGTCATGTTTTACACAGGACTATGTAAACTCCACATCACAGAATTTTAATTAAACCTATCCCCTGCTTCATCTGCTACTCCATCTCAGAAACATCTGCACTCAGATTTTCCTTACTGTTTCCTTCGGAACAGAAACTTGTACAAAGCAAATTAAGTTTTTTAAAGCTCTGAATTTGCATTTTAAATGAAATATTAATTTAATTTAAATAATATTGGGAGCACTTTAGCTCCCAATATTATCAGCAGATCTTTCCTGTACACTAGAAAAGAGGACAATAACCAATTCAGAAATCATTATCCCAGGTTGCCCCAAGCCCCGTCCAACCTGGTAACAAGCCCTCACCACCCTCACAGGGAAGAGTTGCTTCTCAATATCCAATCTAACCCTGCTCTCTGTCAGTTTGCAACTATTCTCCCTTGTCCTGTCCCTCCAGGCACTTGGAAATGGTCTGTTTCCATCTTTCTTGTAGCTCCTTCAGGCACTGGAAGGCCACAATTAGGTCACTCCTTTTCTTCTGCAGGCTGAACAATCCGAATTCCCTCAGCCCTTCCCCATAGCAGAGGTGCTCCATCCCTCTGATCAACTTGGTGGCCCAGAATTTGGGAACCTGATCTAATTGGATACCGCTGAAGGAGGGGCCCTGACTGCTGAACAACACAAGGCCTTTAGAATCTCTCCTAATTCCAACGTTGGCTGCCTGGGTGACTTCTTCCACAAAGACTTTTACCCCCTTCTCATGACAACAGTCTCTCCTAAGGCTCCATTTTTCCCAGTTTAACAAGCAAGCTATTTTTCTAAATATAAACCAAGTGGTTTGTGCCCATACAGTCTGTTTGTCTTGTGTCAGCTCTGAATTACTGTTTTAATAAAGGGCTTCACAGCAAGGCACAGCAAGCCCAGTGCACTGCCTGTGTCACAGGGTGGAGCAGCCCTGTCCCCGTGTGCCACAGGCTGCCACCAGCAACTCATCTTCCCATGCCCTAATTTATTGAACAAATTTGATCAGGCACGTAAATCCTGCTTTTTTATTCATCCCTCCTCTGGTTAACTGGAGCTTTCCACGTGCTGCCTGCCCCCTCTAGTGTTGGAAAAAAGGAACAAGGGAAAATATCACCTTTTAGGCTTTTTTTTTTTTTTTTTAAGTATTTTTTCCTGCAAAATCAGAGGAGCAGACTAGAATACGGCTACATGGGTCAGGGCTGCCAATGCCTGTAATTTTTAATCACAGGTGGTGGTATTCCATGTCCTGGAGGTGCTAAACTCCACTGGTTATATTAAAAACAGAAAAAAAAAAATCTATCACCCATTATTCCTTGAGAAGCTCCTATTATATGAGAGGAGGGGTGAAAAAAATGGAAAAAAGGACAAGACTAAATGTTTTCCAAAGCAGGAGGTTTAGAAGTGTGATTGATTTCTGAATGCTTGATGTTGGTAAAGGTTGTCTCCGTGTTAGTGCCAGAAAGCCCTGCCAGCTCCTGAGGTTTTCTGCTAAGCACAGGTTTACCTGTGGGGATTTTTGCAACAGGGATTCTCCTGGGTGCAGCACACACCAGCCCTGACCAGGAGTGACAGAGAAATAACTCATATCTGATGGCCAAGCTGGGCCTCACTTTCTGATGGCCCGATGGTGAAGGGAAACTGCTTCAGTCCATCAGCTCACCATGAGAAGCTGTGGCTGCCCCAAGCCAGGTTGGACGGGGCTTGGAGCAACCTGGGAGAGTGGAAGGTGTCCCTTCCAATCCAGGCCATTGCATGATTCTAAGACTTTTATCATCCAAATATTTAATCCAGGTCAGCCTTTATTCTACCCATTATGAAAACAAGTTCTGGCACCCTGATCCTGACCCCCAACTCATTGATAACAACTGCTGCATCAACACTAACTCAGCCAATCCATGGAGCTGACAGTGGAAGAATGTGCTTGAAATACAAATTTGGGTTCGGGCTTTTAATTCTGAAAACACACAGAACTACACAATGCTGACTTTGGTCTGAGCACCAGCAGCTCCTACTCCAGGTGCCTCTGGGGACACCAGCACAAAGCATCACTTACACACACGAGGTGCTGTGATTTCCACTCTCTCAGGAGACTGAAGTTCAGATTTTAAACACTCTCTGAGACACTTGGAGGGCAGAAATGCTTCCCTGACAGCCTTCCTGCCTTCCAGCCTCCCTCCCACCCCATCCAGGCACTCAGGAACCACTAGATGTCCCGTGGTGACCACAGAGAGACTACTGGGAGCATCCCTCCCTCTGCAGAGCCGGGAGGTGCTCAGGTATGAGGGGACTGAGCTGTGCTGCCCCTTGGATTGGCAGCAAGAAGATTTGGAGAAGACACCTGCCCACCCTTGGGTCACACTGCAGTGCACGGTGGCAGCATTGCAGCTGCTCAAGAAACAGGGGTTTTTTGCAGGGGGTCAGGGTGGGGGCCACAGTGTGACTTCTCACAGCACAGAGCCTTGTGCCCCAGCTCAGAGCAACATCACAGAGCCCCTGAGCACAGTCCCTGGGGTTTACACCCCACTGTCTGCCCTGTCCTGTCCTGCCCAGGCATCAGCAGAGCCTTCCTGACCTAAAGCTGAGTGAAGGTGCCTCCTCTCCCTCAGCCCCGCAGCAGCGGCTCAGCCTGGACATCACCCTCCAGTGGGATGGACAGACAGGGCAGTGCCCCAGCAGTGGCAGGAGCTGTGCCCTGAGCCCCCCTTACCTTGCAGGCCGTAGAGCTGCCCCGTGCTGTGCTGCCGGGTGATGTGGTGCCAGTAGGCGCTGCGGGGCAGGGGCACCATGGCACTGAGGGACACGGCGCGCTCGCTCAGCTTCAGCTGCAGCTGCAAAGGGACACGAAGGACACGGTCTGAGACAGCACGACCTCTGCCCGCAAGAAGTTCTAACACAACAACCACACAGCCTCTCCCTCCCTCCCTCTGCCCCCTGCACAGCAGCAAGGGCTAACTGGGTTAGTCTCCACAGCAGCAAGGGCTAACTGGTTAGTCTCTGACACACCATGGGTCAGGAGGCCACGCTGCTGTTTCACACCACAGCTCACCTTGGTGCTCCCCTGGTCCTGGGCAAGCCCTGCTTCCCCCGAGGGGAGTCCTAACCCAAGCAGCTGAAACAGAAACCGGGGATCAGCAGAAGGCAGGACAGTGCTGGTGTGTTCCCCAGGTCTTCCCAGCTACACAAGCAACTTCCCAAAGCTACCTACAGCCCTATGGAGAACCTGACTGGATATATTCCAAGTTTGTTTTGAGGCATTTTCTATTCATCTCCCCTCTCCTACAGCCAAGGAACTTGCCGGCTGGATGGCACAGGAGTCCAACAGGACATGGATAACTGCACCCTTCATCAAGAATCCTTGAGTGAACAGCACATCCAGGGGTGCTCAAGAGGGCACGTGGGCTGCAGTGCATTGCTGGGAGCCCCATCCCACACTTCCCCCTCCATACACGGCCTTTAGCTACATTTTCTTACATTATCACAGCCCCTTGTTATTTATACTGGATTTAACTCAAAAATACATGAGAACTGACTACTTTAAGGCATTTTTTCTTACGTGAATTCAGTAAGATGTATGTGCAAGCTGATAAAAATATTTGGATTTTATCATAAGCTTCAGAATAACCCCGAGATAAGCTCAGTTAAAACTTGATGCTAATAAAGCCAAGGTTGTGGGTTCAATCCCTTTGTGGGCCATTCACTTAAGAGTTGGACTTGATGATCCTTGTGGGCCCCTTCCAACTGAGAATAATCTGTGAACTCTCTAAGAATACAGGTAAAATTCTCCTCCCAAAGCTCAGGAAAACACCATTCAAATATACCAAGGCTGAACTAGACTTTTCTAGTTTATGAAGATAGTTTTTAACTATCTTCATAAGTAAGTTTTACATTTTAGTTTCACAAAAACAGAGGTGACAGAACCCTTTATAAGAAAGTCTATATATTTTGGAGCAAGAGCAAAGAGGCAAAACAAGGACAGAAAAGGGGTGAGGGCTGGGTGTATTCAGAGATCCACTTCTTAGTTATTCAGAGGTGCCTTCTACCTTCAACCTCCTCTCTATGCAGTGGGCACCTGTGATGAGAAGGTAAAACTAAACCAAATCAAGCTCAAGTCCTGCTCTGAAAACACCCCCCTCCACATCAGCTGGATGTGAGTCACTGCACCAGGACCCACCTACACCATTTTATCACAGTTCCTTTGCAGTGTCACCACACACACACACACCTTGGCACCATGGAAACAAACAACCAGGGATCTTGTACAGGGAATACCAATCAGGGATGGCATTTCTCAGCCGTAGGTATCTCTTGTGGAGGTTTCATTTCCTGGTGAGCTAACTTGGACAGCCAGCTAAGGCAGTTTGAGCAATAGTTCAGCTGTCAGCAGCAGTGCAAAAACCAACAGGCTGGCTTGGGAAAAAAAACCAGAGACACAGCCAGAGCAAGACTAAATAATGACACAGAAAAGGGCCTGAACTCAATCAGCAGGAGAAGAAATTAAAAACTCCAGAGCTGAAGATAAGAATTAGTATGTTCTGTGCTGAATACACAGCGTTTCATCAAACCACCTCGGCCTGTGAGCATGGGCGGCTTTAATGGTGATTGATTCCATTCCCACAATTAACCTACTGCATCTCTGTGGCAACACAACGAGGAGGGATAAGTTGCTAATGCCCTGGCTCTGTTCCACAGGAGCACCCAGAGCTGGGAGCAGGTCCCACAGCCAGCATTGACATGCTGGAGCACGTCTGGGCACAGGCTGGAGCCAGGCAGGACGTGCGGCTCCACACATCATTAACACAACTAATAAACTGATTACCAGAGGGCACCAAATCTCTACCCTCACCCACTTCTGCTCAGAGGAGGAGGAGAATGAAGCTGAGCAGGTATCAGGATCCCCAGAGAGACTCAAACACAGCACCCCTGCACATAAAACAGGCAGCAGGTGATGCTCGGTCACGCTTAAACCCACACCGCAAAGATGGGAGGAGCTGTGAGGGACAACCCAAAGCCACCCCACAGCTCTGGATGCTACAAGAGACCCCTGGAGGAAGGGGATGGAGCACTCCCAGGCACTGCCAGGAGCAGCTGGGGAGCTGCTGCTCCACCTCTTGAATTCTTGTCACCTGGATGGTGACACCAGCTCTGGGCCAAACACAGGGTGCTGGGTCTGAGAAGTCCTGGGGCTCATGGAGGAAAGGTTAAAGTATTTTCTTTCTGGGATCCCGCCTTAACAAATCGGCAAAATTGCATTAAAAATTACAAAAATTAAGAAAAAATACTGAAAAAAAAACCCACAAAAATCAACAAACAAACAAACAAAATCCCAAAACAAACAAACAAAGAAAAAAACTAATAATAAGCCCCTGCACACCAGTGTTCTCTCAGGTTAGCCGTGAATGTGGCTCCAAAAGGAAAGAAAAGAAAGATGATTTAAGATTTGTTAGGTTTGGTTGGTTTCCTCAGGCTGGACAATCTAATTTTCAAAGATTTTGCAGGACAACTTCCACTTGAGGCAAACGTTCCTCTTGAGACCTCCCCCTCCCGCCTTGGAGAAGATTGCACTCACTGTGGTTTTGCTGGGAAGAAAATCCCCCCAGATCGATCAAAATCAATTTGAACAATAATTGTTTAAGAAACATTTGCAAGCTCATTATAGGAAAACAATAGACTGGTCAAGTAATAGAAACAACTTCAGGGATTAAGAGGCATCAACATATTGCTGCTGTTTTGGCTTCTCTCTGCCTTGCACTAATGATAAATACTCTAGAAGCTAATTCTGAGTTAATTCTGAACCTCTGTGGAAGTGGCCAGAGCTAACAGAGGCTCCAGCCTGGTCAGGGGCATCTCAGATGGAACAAGTGCAAAGTGCCCCCTTCAAGAGGGAAGAAGAGTCAGGGAAGGCTGCAGGAAACTGGCTGATAAAACCTTTCCATAAAGCACTGATCTTTAGCTGCCAAGACTGTGAGGTTCACAGTTACTGTTTCTTAGTGAGGTGTCAGGTTTTAATGTCTTTTTTTAAGCAACCTGAAGAGAGAGCAGTGAAGTCATAGCACTGCTCCCATCAGTTTTCATGGCAACCAAATCCTCAAGAAAATATAGCCTGAAGAGGTATTTTCTTTCCATTGTCTGGCAAGGCAAAAGTGAAAGGAAAGAAACACTTGGGATGGGATGGGTTACCAAATGACCAGAATGGCTTCATGCATCACCAGGCAAAGCCAGCTTTTTTTCCTCTTTTAAAAGAGAAAAGGGAGAGATCTGTGGATGCACTGAGAAGGAAAACAAGCGACCCCCAGTTGTGGAAGTGTCCCAGACTGGTGAGTACTTGCTCAGACCTGGGCACGAAGCAGCAGCACGTGTGAAGGTGAGGTTCTATCCCAGGAGCTGCTTTGCACCCACTTCCCATCTCAGGAGCCAGAGCCAGCTCCAGTCACGCTCTGAACCGCGTACTGGATGTGAAGGAGTGACTGCCAGGGAGGTGACAGACACATCAGAGCCCACACTCTCAGCAGAACTTGGCAGCTTTATTTCACTCTGTCAGCATGGGATATTCAACTCTTTCCTTTTTCTTGCACAGGCTGCAGGAACCCTCAGGTAGCTTAATAAAACCTTCCCCTCAGCCTTGGATAATCACTCCAGTGATGTGGCAGTGGTCATGATTCCAGGAGCAAACAGAAGACACTCAGTATAGACTTCATTTCTCACCACCACATCTCCTACTTTCTTCTTTTACTTACCCATTCTGTAAATAACAACTCAAGCTTCACTAATACAAAGAATCCACACAGAGTAAGTAATTCTTGGAGACAAAAACAATATAGAAAGCTGAGGATGAATTACAAGCCTCTGAAATGAACTCCTCGTTGAGGTGTTCAAAAGCAGAAGAAAAATACAGGGGAAATCTATCAATCTGAACAAAGAGGTACTTTACAAATATTTTGTAATCAGCAAAATAAGCCACAGAAATTCTACACTGATATAACAGTCCTCTGCCTAAACTTCTAAATCTGAATCCCAGATAAGCCACCAAGCTTTACTGAGTATTTTGGAACCAGGCAATATTCCTATGGCAGAGTTGGGAAACTCATATTGAGGGGCACATGGACTCCTCTGAAACAACTGTGTTCTGCTACTAAATTATAAGACTTTCAGTTCATCAGGAATATGTTGTTATTCCCTACTTAGGACTCTAGGGTCTATAAAATTAGATTTAGGGATTGTGGTCGTTCACTGAAAATGCTTTGAGAGGTTGTGCAGCTGCTGCCTATTGAAATCTACAGCAGCTCTGCATCTGTGGAGTCTATTGGCATTTCTAAGATGGAAACTTTACAGTGCAGCATCAGACATCATCTATTAGAGATGCTATTTCGTAAATGCAAAGCCAACAAACATGAAATTGCCTGTAAACCTGTTCACTGTTGCTTCTGAACTGATCCCTGCTGTTTGAAAATGAAGATGTGCTCTCAGCAGGTTACTTGATCACTTCTGATCCTGGTGCATACAAATGTTAGCTAGTTATGCTGACCTAGCCTAGGTTAATTTTAATCTGCTTAATTTAGTCACTTTTGAGCACTTATATCATCTAACAATCTGTCTCAGTTTTGGATAATTTTCAACTAGAACTCCTTCCGTTAATTAGAACTAAAAGGTTCTTTGTTTTAAACAAAAGCCTAACCCAGCAAAGATGGTGGAAGAACAAAACAACAGCAAGTACTTAAGACAGTTTGTTCCCTTGTCCACCCCTTCAACATCCACTCTGATCTTTCCTAAAATTTTCACAGTAATAATGGCATTTTCTGTTTTATCCCAGCTGGTTCATCCAGTTAATGCTGGGATAATTCATTACTACAACTTATCCCTGAAACAAGACAGTAGAATTACTGAAAGGATTAGACATGGATAACAGCAGTGCTTATGTTTACAGCAAGAGAAAGAAGAAAGGACTTGTTGCAGATTACTACTGCTTGGAATAGAGATGATGTTTATAGCCAAGTTCTTCCACAGTTCTGGGCATTCAATACATTCCAGAAAACTTGTTATCTTCAGGATACTAATTTTGCTGCCAGAGTCACCCTGTTAGTCCTGGAGTGCAGAGACCAGTTGAGAAACGAGATAAACAAAACATTCCTTCTCACTCTACAGGCTTCATAAGCAAACAAAAATTTAAATTAGAAGTTAATAAGATCCTGAAACACATTAGGTGCAAGCGTCATAAAACTGCCTCTCTTAGATATAAAGCTTTTGGAGATCCCTCACTATCTCTTTTGTTAGTTTTGCATCTTCCACTTCTATATTTCCTACCAGTCCTGTGTGTCATAAATCAAGTTTTAGATACAAAAAGCACTTGTGGAAAACAGACATTCCCTGAGAGATCAGGCAAACACCTAGCCCTCCCCCATGGTTTAATGTGAACCATATGACTATTACCAAATCTTCTGAGTGTAGACACCAATTAGCAAATGGAAAACTGAGCAGGAGCCACAACATTTTGCAAATAGACTGATGAGAAATGCTTCCAACCAAACTCATGATGCTGATTCATCAAAAGAAACTAATGAGAATGTGCACTTATCTCTGTATCAATTCACACTTATTGACAGCTTTGCAAACACAAAGATCGAGGACTGTTAAGTTTCCCTCTTGTTTTGATTCTTGAAAAGGAATTGCAGTTATACATATTACTCTAAAGTTTACAATTGAGCAGAATTTAATAAGAGCAACAATCAGAATCTGTAAATCAAAACTTAAAATCCCACTGAAGACACAGATTGCTGGTTGGATATTCCAGCCTGGAATACCAGGCCTAACAAGCAGCCGTACCATGGAATTTTTCACACTCTGCAGCAAACGCTCGTGTTGTTCTGCTATGGCCAAAGCAGCTGAGTGAACCTTCTGATAGATTGCTTCCCCATCCCTGGTCTGAAAGATGAACAGTCCTTCTCCTGTGTCACACATCCTGCCAAAGCAAGAGCAGAAGGGATCCAGGTGTGAGATGGAAGTTTACAGGTCACCACAAATAAGCAAAACTTTCCCGTGCTGCTCTAGAAGTGTCACTGCACAGGCAGTGAGAAACAAAGGTGGTTGAAATAAAGAACACAGTTATTTGAAAGTCTTTGCCCTTGGTTCTTAGTAGCCCTGGTCCAATCTCACTCTTTCAGGCCATATTTGTGTTGTCCCAGCCAGGGACTCAGCTCAGCACTGCTGATCTATCACAAGCTCTGGAGAGTTCACGCACCAGACCCAGATTTTTTATATTTAGACTCCATCTAGAATCTGTGCCAGGCAGGATTAATTTGTCTTTCCCCTTCAGACTTTTAACACTGCCAGTAATGAGTTTTGCACAGTTTTATCTTCCACTTGAAACAATAAATACAAATCCTCTGCGTCCCAATTGCATTGTCCTGATGCATTATCTGTTAAATGAAAATGTATTCCTTCTCCTCCCCAAGAGGGCTAAATCCTGCATAATATGGAGGATGGAAATCCAAATGCCTTTTCCCTGCCCAGATAAGTTAATTGTATGATCTGTTTCTCTTCTACTATTGTAATTATTTAATGTGCTTATCTAAAATAAAGCATCTGTATCCCCTGAGAGTTATTTGATAGTTTAGTTCAATAACCCCAGTGCTCCAACTCCAGCCAAAGTCTTCAGCTCATTACAACAAAGCTGCAGGAGCAATACAGAACATGTCTAAAACAAGGAAATGCATTCAAATTTCTCATAAATCCATTTTTCAAAAAACAAACAAACAAAACTCGGTGGAAAACAGGAGTCCCTTCTCCTTTAGTTTGCTTTTGGGAAACAACTTGGCACTCACTGCCCTCAAGATGAAACTCCACTTCTCTTGGTACAGACCCCATAGTTCTGTGCCCAAAGATCCACATTGTACAAATTCTGGAATGACGTTCCCCTCTTCTTCCCAGGTCTGTCCATCCAGTTCTCTGGTTCATATATTGCTTTATTTAAGTATAACTCTATACAGTAACATACAACACTGTCCCCCCTCCACCCTGCCATCCCCTGGGATATCTCAGCTCTCCCACACCATCCTCAGACACATTTATTTGGTAACTGCTTTCATCCAACTGGGAGTAAGATGGTTTTTGTTTGGTTTTATACTTGTTTCAGTATTTTTTTACTTTTTTAGGAGCAGGTCCAGACTGGCCTCTGGCTGAAGGTCAACACCCTTCAGAAGCAGTCCAGAGCACCACCCAGCAGCACCAGGAAATAAAAGCAACATATAATAATAAAATAAACCCCGACCTACCTCCCTGCTTCAAAGGTGAACCAAGAGGGGTCCCGCCCGTAGCGCCGGAGGGCACTTAATGGCCAAGAGACGAGTTTAACTCTGGGATTCTGGATGTCCCAAAGACAGATATTCTCAAATGTTATCTGCAAGGTACATTCCCCATGCACATCTAAATTAGGGGATGGCATCAAATACACATTGAATCTCTCTGGGAGAAAAACAAAAGGTTAGTCTAAAATCCCTGCTCGTTACATGTGCAAGTCATTCAAGGAATTTCCTACTTTCCAGCTCTAATACATGATCTTATTTCCACTTAGAACAACTAATTCAAAGACTCAGTTCCTTCCAGTACTCAATGAACTCCAGGTTTGGGGCAGTCAGAATGCTGCACTCAAACATTTATGCTTTCAGAGCCTGAAGAGAACTGCACCAGCACAATCCTGGTATTTGCAAACAACTACAAAAATTGTATGCAATGATAAATACATTGCTTGTGCAGGTAATGAGTTAATTTGCATAGGAAAGTGAAGAAGCTATGGGCTCAAGTTTTGCATGCAATTACTATTATTTGCTTTACAATGCTGCCAAAGTGGCTCCATCACTGACATCATACAAGAAAACACACAACAAAAGATAGTTCCCATCTCCAAGAGCAACTAACCTGTCTGAGAGAGACAAGTGCTGCTCTAAAACAATTCTAGTTACCTTACTTATTATCTCTGGCAGCAATTAAAAACAGAAGCCAAAAATAACCCCTCAAACAAACAAAACTAACCCCCACAAAACAGGAAGGAGGGCTTGGAAAAGCAATTTGTTCCTATTTATTTCTAATATCCATATGTACAGTTCAAAAACTTTAAAATAATACCATTAGAAGGTTAAAAGGTCAACATTCATGTACCTACCACTCTGCTCCCTCTCTACTCCAGATGCCAACAAGTCAGGCTCTCCAAGGCTAATGTCATTAATCCGTGTTCCAAGACACTCCATCTGCAGCACCTTGCACCACTCATCTGCCTCAAGTTCTGTATAAATGCCCAAAAATCTGTGTGTAGGTATATAATAATTTATAATTCCACAATTAATTCTCTTATGTTTTCTAATGTGCTTTACCATTTCACCCACCTGACTCACAAGCAAAGGTTTTGGAGGTGTCATCACTGAAATAAATTCCCACAGCGTGTTTCTTCGTGCTTTTTGGCATCCTTAATATATTCTTCACATTGTTGAGCTCTGTGACCTGAAAAAGCACAATTTGGAATTTTAATTAGGAGCTTGAAAAGAGATATATCCATTACTGACTGGGCAAGGAGAAAGGAGAATTACATCACTATGCAAAGGAGAGAGAAAAGGTGAGACAGCATGACCAGGTCTGTGATTGCTCTTAAAGAAAGGCAGCCTTGGCAGGAATCACCTCAGACATTCCCCCTGAAGACCCTGGAAGATGAAGCAGCCACGTCCTGCAGTTCTCTCCTGCCTGCACATGAGCTTCAGTGTGACACCATCCCAGAACTTTAGCCAAGAGGTGGAATCAAAGCTCACTCCAGTCGGAGAAACATTTACATGAAAGGCATGAGAAAGGTCAACCTGATGCAGCAGAAGCAGAGAGAGGTGATGATGAAAATCTAAAGGATTCACGCATTTGGAGGAGCACGTTCTAGTACAGCTTTCATCGTGGAGGATAAAGCTGTAGAATGGTGAAAGCTGCTCTCTGAATTAGTTTTTTGATGGAAAGTTGAGGATTTGTTAGAATGGTCCACTTAAAACAAACAAACAAAATAAGTTTCAGTTATTAGAATGTGGTTTAGCTTTAAAGAACTGGACTTGTAAACAAATATTTCTGTTGCCAAATACTGATTGGAAAAACAGCTTTTGTACCTCAAATAAATAAACATGGATCTGTTACCTTGTATACAGCTTTGGTAAATACCACAGTTGCTTTATTATTTGTAACATGCAAATTTTCACCCTCCCAACCCACAAACAATGCTGTCAAATTTGACTGAGGAGGAATTCCTCATTATTTAAATTAATTTTAATGTAAAGGCTAGCAACCAACAAGGGAATCAGGAAGTTTCATTTAAATATTCATTATCAGAAAACATTTCACTGATTCTTTTACACAGCAGGGGTTGGGGAGAGAGAGAAAGATTGATAATTTAGCAAAGCTGTGCAACACAACAACTTCACTCCCAACAGTTTCATATCCAGCTGTAACTCTAAACAAAGAAACCACAGCAATTGTCTTCTAAATAAGACTCAGGAATTATAAAGAGTTATCAGCGGTGAAGGTTTCAGCAACAGAAACTCCTCCTCTAGAGCATCCTAGGGTCACCAGCGTCCTCTCTCTGGCATTTCATCCTGAGCCACTTTCTTCTTGGAGTCAATTTATTGCCCAGCCCCTTCCAGCAGCAGAGAACTGACAGCCAAAAATCATATTTTCAAGCAAGAACCCTGAAAAAGGTGTTCTTACTGGGAATGGAGGGAACAAAGAGCAGCTCATGAGCAACCCTTCTCCAAAATAAAAATAAATGACAGATCCAATGGCAGGAAACTCATTTTATGGGCAGAAGCAGCAGGACATAATGGAAGGAAGAGCACATGGGGAACACACCAAACCTTCTGCAGAGCTGCCAAATTTAGAACTTGGGTTTTTATAGCCTCCAGGTTGAAGATTTTTGAGAAGTGTCAAAACTGAGACTTCCTAATTGCGCTTAATTTTCCAAGAGGATTTTTTTTTGCTCTTCCAGGAAATCCTGTGATGGGAGCACATCCCCCAGTGCTAACCAGACACTGACAAACTCCTTGCTAAATACGACAAATCTGTCATAACCTATTCCCACCGTGCTCAGTACATGACAGGTCAAGCACAAATTGCCAGCTGCCAAGCTCCAATATATTTTTCTCAGATGACAAGAAAGGATTCAAATGCAAGAGGAAATAAAGAGCCAGACTTTTTCATTCAGGACAGCAACTACCTTGACATTTAGACTGAGCACATTTACATTTCCTGCAAGGGAATGTGCTAATGAAGCTTTGTACCTTCGACTACCAAAGTCAGCAGAATGTAGTCTTACATTTTGGAAGTGAATCATTTACCTACCTTGGATTTTTGTTAATGGAAAGCTCCATTCTGAAAATTAGGCACATCACACTCCTACTGCTGGATATCCCACTGTCTCCAGCACAGTGAATCCTGAGGATGCTGACAGGATCAGGAGTGTGATGAGGAAAGGATTGCACTGGTCAGGGAATAGGGAATTGCCTCTCTGTGCTGGCTCAGGAGCCAAAAGCACTTTCAGCAGTGTCCAAGGTACCAAGTGAACCCCACTAGCCCTGGGCTGGGGGACATCCCACATTCCCAGTGAGGGAAGTGGGATAGTGGAGGGACTTAGGACAGAGCTTTAAAAACACATTAAACAAAGTAATTCCCAAAGAGGCTCCTGGCTCCTGCACAGGGATGGGAAAGGAAAATAACCCACCCTAGCAGCACCACTGCTACCCCTGTGTGCAGCCTGAGTCAGGCACCTCCAGGCCACGGGAGCACATTCATCCCACTGGGAGCAGGAGAAGGACAAGATTAAAGCATTTGCTTTGTCTGCCTGCACTACAGACATTCCTGATCGCTGTTTCTTTTACTGTGACTCCAACCTTGTACACTGTACATGTCACATCCACCTTGCAGCTCTTCCAGGACTGGGTCAGCTCTGAATCCAACCATGGGGAATGAGGTTTGCTCTTGCCACCTCTCAGATACCAGGAGCACCCTCCAGGAAGTCCTGGCTTATAGCCTGGTCAAAGGAAAGAGCAAGTGATTTCACCCCTTGGGTGATATCTGAAATCAACAGTATTATGTCATTAATGTCACTGATCATCAAATCCTTTGCAGTTCATGTTTTAGCTGTGAACTGGGGGAGAAAAAGAAAGGGTATTTATATTTGGAGAAATGTAGCTACACCATTTGGCAGCTCCTGAGTTATTTTGTGCTGCACTGAGTGCCCGAGAGCTCTTTGTATAATGGCATTTCACAGGGCACAGCCTCAAAGTCTTCACATGCATCTCAAGGCTTCCTGGTGGCTTCTGCTGAGCTGCACAAGATGCCACCAAAGCACATCCCTTTGGAGGGTGACAGCCAGGCAGCCCCTGTTCTGACCCCTGACCCAGGTCCAAATGTCTGTGGCAAAATTCACATACTCTGGGCTCTTCCCATATAGTTCCAGACTAAGGTTTCCTTCAGCACCAGGCACAGAGGGACAAAATCTGGCACTCTGGGGCTCTCTCTGAGGCCAGTGGCACAAGTGGTACCCTGCACAAGGGTCCCTTGAACCCAGCTTTCAGATCTTCTGTCCTGGGCACAACCTTGTGGCACCTGACTTTTATGTCTGACAAAACAACACTCAACAAGCACCTGCCCTCTCTTCCTTTGGGGGCTGGAGTTGCCTTCACCTTTCAGAGGCCCAGAGATTCTCTCCACTTCGGTAATGGCTCTCCTGGCAAGATCCAGCTTTAGCCAAGAAGCAATTCCTGCAGGAAGGTTCCACATCACGCCTGCACCCCTGAGGGAGATGTCACCTATTTGACCTGCTGTGTCACCCACAAGGGGCTTCAAAACACCCCTGTTATCCCAGATGACTAAACAACCTCCCTGTTGCTCACCCTTGAGCAACAGATGGTTCCAATTGTCTGGCACATTTGCACCCAATTCACACCGAGGAAGTGACAGGCTGCAAACACCCCCTCACCAGCTCTTGGAAAGGAGTCAGGAGCAGGCATCAAACACCTGCAAATATCTCAGGCTCGAGTTTTCTTTTTCTTTTTTTTTTTTTTGCATTTTTAAATAACTCTCCTCCTGCCAGGCTCTTGCAAAATAAGTGTTTTCATGATTAGTTCAATTCATGTAGGTTTTATTTATCTGAGATTAGCAAATAATGTACATTTATCAACATAATTCTAAAATTCTAACCCACAAATCAGATCTAAGACAGTGTTAACAGAGAAATCACACGAAGAATGTTTGGTGAGGGGTTAAAGACCTCCCTTTGCATATTTGTCTCCTCCTCTTTGCTCTCAAGCCTCCTCTACATTAGGATGACAATCCATATAATTGAAATACATTTCATTAGATTAAAAACTAAAATGCTGGCAGAGATGTGTGGTAAGAGAGTTCTGAACCAGGAGCAGGGATTCATCATTCTTTTCCCGGCTGACAGAACAAGCAGACAGAGCTTCACCCTGACAGATGCACTCAGACAAAATTCTTCCATCTCTCCCATTCCCTTCAAAAACATGCCAAACACACAGTTTACTAAAAACGATCTTTAGCATTCGAGCCATTGTTTGAATTAGTGCACCATTCTCAGATATGGGGAGCCTTTCAGAACACAACACAAGGGAGTATATTTATTGCCACACTCACTGGTTCTCAAGTACCCTGGGTTTTAATCTTAATTGAGGACTCTGGTTCTGTCTTGGCTTACAGAAAATTGCCCCCATGATGAGTATACATCTAACATTTCCCAGGACACCCCAGGGGAACATTTAATGCAAAATGCTACTGCTCAGTTCTGCTTATAAGACTGGTCTGCACAGATTTAACTTACTAAAATAAATCACATGCTAAAATTTTGTATTGAATCATGCAGTGGTTTGTGAAAGTGATCTTAAAGATCATCTCATTCCAAACCCTGCCACAGGTAGGGACACCTTCCACTATCCCAGGTTGTTCCAAGCCCCGTCCAACCTGGCCTTGGACACTTCCAGGGATGGGGCAGCCACAGCTTCTCTGGGCAACCTGTGCCAGGGCATCACAGGGAAGAATTTCTTTCTAATCTACCCAATCCCATCAACCACTACTCTCTGTGAGTTTGAAGCCATTGCCCCTTCTCCTGTCACTCCAGGCCCTTGGAAATAGTCTGTCTCCATCTTTCTTGTAGCTCCTTCAGGTCCTGGAAGACCACAGTTAGGTCACCCTGGAGCCTTTTCCTCTCCAGGCTGAACAATCCCAACTCTCCCAGCCTTTCCTCCCAGCAGAGCTGCTCCATCCCCCTGATCATCCTGGTGCCTCCTCTGGACTCTCTCCAACAGCTCCATGTCCTTCCTGTGCTGGGACCCCAGTGCTGGAGGTAGCTCAGCAGGAGGGGTCTCACCTGAGTGGGGCAGAGGGGCTGAATTACGTCCCTTGACCTGCTGGCTTTAATATATTTATTAAAACATATATATGTGTTTATGTTTATCTGTATATATATAAATAAAATTAACAGCAACACCTCTGTCTCCATTTCTTCAGTGGGAAAAACCATCAGCTGCCAGTTCTCCCTTGCTCACATACAGAGCTGCACACACTGCCCAGAACCCCAACACTGGCTTGGAAGTGAAAGAAAACTCCAAGAAATCAATGCCAGGAACAACTACCAGATTTAGAGATTCAGGTTTTCCATCACCCTCAGAGGCTGCTCCTTCCCTCAAAGGCACAAGGTTTGTCCTTCTATTTGGAAGGACATGAACCTGCCCCACAGCCTTGTGGCATTAGAGTGAAGACATCAAAACATCCTGACAAGTTACTTTAATTCTTCTAAAGCCTTGAACTTGACACTTCATTCATAGCTAAGCTGTGGTATTCATTAAAAGATATGTTTAACAGCCAGTTATTAGCAGAGTGGTCATACTTTAAGCACTTCATTTGCCTGGAAAACAATTACAAATTACAGAATTCAATTTTCCAAATGAATTATTCCATAACTAGACAGAAAGACTGGTTAAATTACTTCTGCTGTTTCAAGGCAAGATTAATACAATCGGATTAAAACTTAGATCCCCTCAAGGAACTGGTGCATTCCTGTCAGCACTGTGCAATTAGTTGGGTTTGTATTGGAATATTAAAGATTCTTCCAGCACCTTGCAAAGTCAAAAAAGTAACCCAGAGACATTAGAATTTCTTCCTTCCTCCAGTATTATTTTGTTAAAGCATATGGCAATTTGTGGTTGCTTATTTACATTTAACAAATGAAAACTAGACAGTTACCTGAAAGGCAATTCTCTGCCTAGATTTGGTAGCCTGGATTCTAATTATTTTCTCTCCCTTGTGGGACCAAATGAATTAAGTGGGCAATTTGCTTTGTGTATGCAAATTCCCAGTTCACCTCATAAGCTACAGATGACTGTTCTCAGACAACCTGTATTTCAGGACACTGTAACCTTTCCACTTAAAAAAAAAAAAAAAAAAAAGAAAGAACAAAATTAGAAAGTATTTAAAGGTCAGTATTACACAAGAAAAGAAAAAAAAAAAAAGTACTTTACTTTTGTTTTAACCCTTCCAGTGGTGAGGATGTCCAAGTTCGGGCCCTGGTGCAGGGCTGCAGACCAAAATACATCCATCAGGCATTCAAATGCAAACCAATTGGACTCTCCAAAATACCACTGAGACACCTCAGAAACACTTCTGGGGACCCAGAATTGAGATGGATAAAGGTGAGACCTTGATGGATTGAGGTGCCAAGGAGATGCTGGATGATCTCAGCCCAGGGCCTGGTACCACCACGGTGCCACCAGCCCCAGTGCTCCAGTCAGCCTCTTTCCACTGATAAATCAAAGGAACATTTGCACTTTAATCCATCACAGGGGAAAAAAAAAAAAAAAGAAAAGAATAGTAACAGAATGAAACACTTCAGTGAAGGAGGCAGGTGCTACTGAAAAATTAGCTCCATTCATCATTTTCCTTTTTCTACCCTTTACAGTTTTATGATGGATTAAACCTCTCCTGAGATCGATGGGGTGAGTGGGGGCTCCTCACTTTTCCAGGTTTGATGCTGCTTTCAACAGCATTTGAGAAGCACTTCAGAACCCAGGTAGGAAGTTAATGACCGTATTTCTGAAACACTGCTAATCTGTGGGTGAGGTTTTCCTCCCACAGCATCATCTTTCAGAACTGAGCCACGTTCGCCCTCAGATTCATTAGCACAAGTTTATGGCACAGTGACACTTGACACGTTAACAGGACTGGCTGGGCTTCTCATTTGTAGGATTAACTTCATTGTCACAGGCAGTGACAGCAGCCTCTGTGCAGGAGTGACAGAATGAGAGTTGTCACAGTAAAGCCTCTCCACGCCACGGAGCTGTTATCACAACAGCTGCTCTTGCTGCCCAAATGTGTATCAAAAGAGCAGTGACTATCCCAGACCTCTGGATGATGCCTTGGTACCATCAAAAGCAGGTAACAAGTAGTGATAGTTGAAGGTTCTGCCGTATTCAGTTATTTGTTGGGGGTTTTGTTAATAATTAACTATGGTTTTTATTAGAATCAGTTCATCCAGAGAGTGGTACAGAGCAACACTGACATGCTCTCTTTTTTCAGCAGCTCATATTTAATACTGTTAGAAGCTGCATCATTCACCACCTTAGAATTTCACACATTTACAAGGTTTATTTAAAAAAGAAACTCATTTTTATCCACCTGTGCTCTTTGTAGGTGAACCCATTTTGCCCAGAAAATGCTGTTTAATATTCATTAACTCCCTTTCAGCGAGGTTTGTTAAAAATAAACAGGACCTGTCGGCTTGGAGAGCTGATGATTTTACAACCAGAAAGCAGCCCTTCCAGCACAGGGAACAAATGGGGGCACTGCAGAGCCCCTGAGTCACTGCAGAAGTGACACCCCACTGCCCTGGGCAAGCTCATTTCAACCTCCCCACAGCACTGAGGCATCATTCCAGTGTGGCCAAGAGGGGCAATAAACGTGGAGAACAAATGCCAATGGCAACATTCCCAGGGCAGAGATCACTGTCCAGCCCCTTAGCAAGCACATCCACAGCATCCAGGCTACCACAATGCTGGGAAGACAGATCCCTCTGGATTACACAGGATTATAGGCTCCCCTGGCAGAAACCTCAGCAATTATCCCATAATTTGGGTCTATGTACCTGGGCCCTGAAGCAGAGAGAGGTTCAGGGGAAGGGGTGATTGGAGTTGGCAGCTCAGCCAGACACCAAAAACCACCAAAGCTCAGACTGATCATTTGGGGTATACCCAGCTTTAGATTCAGACCCCAGTTGCCTCCCATGAACCCCTGAAGGAGATTTAGGATATAATCTACCAGTTCCAGTGCTGGAACCAGTGCTGTCAGGAACACTCACTCCATGCTGTGCTTGACTCCCCCAAAAGGGAAACATTTCTCTGCCCACTTCCCCTCGAGACATTTGAGTTCAGACCGTCATCCTGCCTGAAATAGCCCCTAGATTTTGGTCAGCCACTGCCACAGGTTTGCCCAGAGAAGCTGTGGCTGCCCCATCCCTGGAAGTGTCCAAGGCCAGGCTGGACGGGGCTTGGAGCCATTGGGATTGTGGAAGGTGTCCCTGCCCATGGCAGATGGGTTGAAATGGATGACTTGTAAGGTTCCTTCCAACCCAAACCATTCTATGATTTTATGACTGGCAAAATTCCTACAAAACCCAGACACAATAGGTGTGTTTCTCAAGACTTCAGCCAAGACTAGGGTTTGCTTTAATGTCTATAACTATTAATATGCCAATTCTGATTACACACAGTTACAGCTTTCAGAAGCAGAAACCATGATCTGTGCAGCCACTAAGGCAGAGTTGATTCCCAGTGACTGATTGTGGAGTTTGACCATCATTTACTCCTGTCAAATAAACTACTTGAGAAATCCAGAAACTAAACTCATAGAAGAAGCAATAGTCTCAAATTAAGTAACTGTTAAGTACAGACTAAGCATGACCTAAAACTGAAAATCCCTCTAAGCCAGTGAGACTTTCCATGGTGCTTCAGTCTGCAGCTCCAGGCTGCTGATGGGTTATATATGTGCAAATAGGTGCTAACCTATAGAACTCCTTGAAAGAAGAGAAGAAAGTCCAGCCTCTTCTAGATTCCTCTTGGATTTCATATCCATTACCCAGTGTGAACTCCAAGTCAGTGTGTGCTGCTAAAATATTGCATTAACACAATGGAAGAAACACAGATTTGCAGCAATAATTGACAGAGTCATATTAATATAAATGCTGGAAATTCTCTCACACACTGTGCAGCCCTCACACACATCAAATGGAAAATCACCACTCATTACTTCTGAAAGTTGCTTAATATAAATTTGAATGAACTATTTCTGGGCCTGACTTATTAGAAATAGCCACAGGTTTTATGACCAATCAATTACATATTCCATGGCATGCAGACAGATGAGTCTGAATTCAGATTCACTATTCCCTCAAGATTTCCTCCTAAATGTATGTCAAAGTGAAGAAGAGCAGATCACCCTCAAGCTGAGCTTGCACATAATTCCTAATCTTCCAATACATTAAACTTTTGCCAGCAATGATTATAAATTAAAGGCTTTCTTATTTTCATCTCCATGCCCAGGAGAATTACACATGTAAATTCTTAGGTGAATATGAAATATGAAAGGTGCACAAAATCCTAGAGAAGTGACTGGAGGGGAAAACTTCATTCTTTTAACACCAATTAATTTAACAAAGGTTTTCACACCACTATGATGAGAAAAATGTGCATGTTGTCCTTCATGTCTGTAGCTGGTACTGTCTTCCCACAGATGGAAAATGAGTAAAAAATCCTAGTAAAATTAGAACCCTAAAGTGCCCAGCTTTCTGAATTCACGTGTTCCCTTGGATGGTTGTTACTGTAAATATGAAGAGCAGCAGCCATTGCAAAGTATTTCAGATCTGGGTTTAAAGGCCTGAGGAAAGGACAGCTGCCTTAAAAATACGGGTATTTTCCACTTAGCAAGATGTTTGTACAAAGCAGAAAACAGAACTTACTGTGCCTCTAGTTTACTGAGTGAAAGAACATACAAACGGGTTTGGGACCTTGAGAGTAAAAAGAGTTCCAATTTTCAGACCAACTAATGCATGTAAACTTTAGGTTTTATTCTTGATATTACATCAAATAACACAAATTTGAGAAACAACCTTGTGTCTTACCTTGTGGTAGCATCTGAAGTAAGCAGCTCGTTCATCTGAGAACTTCTCCAGCCTCTTTGGCCCTTTGCTTGAAGCTTTTTTGAATACTAACCAGCATCTCTGGTAAATCTGGAAACACAAGAGAGTACACTTGGCATCTGCAATGGCTTGAATATCACCAATATTGATACAAAAGATAAACTTACAAATCAGCTGTTTCTCTGGAGCTACAATTAATAACTCAATAGCTTAGAGCAAACATTAAGCTAATGGGGAGTTACATCCTATTTCTTTGGAATTCAGAAATCAGAAATTCTTAGGAAGGTGCTTGGAAGGAAGAGCAGTAATTGTGCTTACAAATGAATGCAGGGCTTTCTAGGAAACAGTGGCACACTTTTCCATGTGGATTTGCTCCTGCTTCCTGCCTTGCATGCCTAAGGGAGATGTGAGAAAAGCTTGAGCAGATAGGTAGGAATGGACCTTCCATCACACAGGCATGAGAGGTGACACTGTAAGTGTATATTCTGTTTATAAGGGGAACCGAGGATACAAAAGGGAGAAGGAACTGAATTACTGGTAATGAAGGTGCATGTCATTTAACTTGCAGAACCAAGGACCGTTCTGACAACTGGAATTTTGCTTCCAGGGTCTGGCTGAATTTATATTCAAGTCATTTGGGGCAGAGTCTGTGCAGAGTGGTTGAAAAAACACCTTTCCATCTACAGCATTAAGTCACTTCATCTCTCCAACTTCTGTCACCATTTCTTGCAATCTTCCCACCCATTCTTTAACTGTGGTGCACTTTCTACCATCCTCTTACATTCAAACCATGGCTCTCAGCTCTGCTAACATGCTGCCTGTATAGAAGGAAAGAATTATAAGCCTTGCCAACTGTTCACAGCCCACACTTAATCAGTAATTCCAAAGTAACACCTGGTAAGTTAGAAATAAATCAAAACTGCCACCAAAAATCAGTGTGATTTCAAAGAAAAAAAAAAAATCAGACCAGCCATTATCAAGCAGTTCACAGCACAAATCCACTGCAGTGATAAGTGATGAAGACCCATCAACACATCTCACTGCCCCAGCTAAGCCAGCACAGGTAACTCACAGACAAGGCAACTCATCCTCTAAACTCCTGGTGGGTTCTCATCAACGTAATCAGCACAATTATGTTCACAAAAAGTAGCTATAACTTCATTTCTGTGCCCAAAAAGCTGATTAGCTGTGCTTCTCTCACCAGTTTTTAGCTGTTTTTCCCAGCTGGATCATTCTCCCCCAGCTTTTCCATCCTGCCTCACACGTGGGCACTCACACCCCTGGCCCAGTTGGCTGCATGAGCATTTAACATATGGACAGGCTGCTCCCATGCCAGGCACCAGCTGAACCTATCAAGATTCTCTTCCAATTTTTCAGCTTATTGGCCACTCAACCTGTTCTGTTTCATGCAAGGGTTTGAATTGAATTGTTTAAACATTACTAGACAATGTCCACAATGACAGCTTAAACCAAAAGCACAACTTAGATATGCTCCTACTTCTCCTGAAGGAGTCTTTCTACATTTGCCTTCAGAGGATTTTGTTCCCCCACAGTTGGAGGGGAAAAAAAGGCAGAACAAAGCACCCCCAAAAAAAAAAAAATCCCTGGCACATGTAAATACTTTCAAGGATGCAAAAGTTAAATCAGTCCACAATATAACCAGTCTTTGAGTTTTGGTTCCAGTCCCACATTGCAACAATTCTCTAACAAAAGTCAGGGTGAAATATTGTGTCAGAGCCTCGGGAAAACATCATCACAACCCAAGGAACTAAACCCATAAAGGACAAATGGCATTTGTGATGCCAGTGAGCAAACTGGACGAAAGGCAGGTCAGGAAGGTCCCTCTCCTGAGCTTCCTCCTCCCTCTGTAGGAGCTGGTCAGCTTTCTCTTAGGAGAATCTCTAGGCAGAGAGATTCTACCACAGCAGCAGTTTAAAGTAGAACAAAGTGTTTTGAATCGACATAAGTAATGATTTTTTTGTCTGAACACACAGTTAGGAATCCATTAATGTTTGTGATGTGATGTTAACGCTCCTCTCTGCTGAGCTTCTATAAACAAACTTAAAAGAATACAAACCCCCTCACTGGAAACTCACTTAGCACCCTCAAAAATGAAGCAGTGGAGCCCTCAAGAAGGGGTGCTATTAGCACAGTCCCATTTCTGTGCTCCCACAGGTGAACATCCAGCACCATCTCATCAGAGCATAAACAACATGATACCTTAAACCTCCAGAAATGAAACAGTGAAAAAGGGGATGGGACAAAGTGGCCTCCAAAGGTCCCTTCCAATCCAAAGCAATCCATGATTCTGTGAATAACCAGCTTGGCAGGATCTACCCAGAAGCCCTGAAAGCCCTTCAGTCAATGCACAGAAGAGATGATGATGTGCCCAAGACAGGGAGCTTATCATGACCCTGTTATGAGCTACAAAACAGAGCCAATGATTAGGTCCTCGATGCCACCACAGCCTAGCACGTGCCTCAGATTTGTCAGTGTTTCCTCAAGCTGAAGACAGCAGGTGAACTGTTTATGTTGCTAATGCTGTTTTGACAGCAGCAACAAGGACCAGCCCCAAATGCTCTTAGGTGCCTTTTCCATCGTGAACACGGAGCTCACTTACCCCTCAAACGAACATTTTCACCACTACTCCATGAATAGGAATTAGTTGAAAGTACTGCTGTAATTGCTTCCACTGCAAACACTTGGGCTGACAATGATTAGATAATCCAAACAGCAACTCAGGATCTGATGTGCTGAGAGAGAACAGTAATAGCTGCCATTTACATAACACCTAAAACTTACCAAGTTTTCCCCTTGAGATCTTCTGAAAAAGTCTCACTCAGGATTTGAGTATCAAAAATTAGCACCTACTCCCTGTGGTCTCTCCTGAAAGTTCCAGATTCTTACGGAGCAGGTGACAAAGTAAATCCCGAGGGAAATAATGTGACTGTTTATGAAGTGCATCACCCCAAACCCAGGGAGGTGATCCAATATCCATGTCCGAGGTCAGGCCAAGACAGTTCTATTTTTGGCTCTAAAGATCATTTGCTATAAATCATTACCACAACTGAAGTCAAAGGAGTGACTTCAAAGGAATGATGCAATCCGAGTTATCTGGATTCCTGCCCCTCATTCCCAGGTTCCTTCTGGTGCTGGAAGGACACTGTGCAGCAAAGGAGCTACTGACCTCAGCTGGGACTGGTCAGCATGGATCATGGAATGGTTTGGGTTGGAAAGGGCCTTAAAAGACCACCCAGTTCCACCCCCTGCCATGGGCATGGACACCTTCCACTAGCCCAGGTTGATCAGAGCTCTCTCTGTCCAGCCTGGCCTTGGACACTTCCAGGGGTGGCATCTGGCTGAGTACAGTGGAAAAATATCTTCTGGCTTTCTGGGCTTCACGGCTCAGTTGGGGTTTGAGAATATTCTCATGCAAAGAGGGAAGCTGAAACCAGAGTCTTGCTGTTCTACGTGATGATCCAAACCCTGGAGTGTCCTGGAAACTGGGGTGGGGAGGGAGACCTGTCAGTCCTCACCAGCTCCCAGCTGAGCAAGATCACCAAGAGCTGGATTTCTGAGTGCCTAAAATGTCCTTCTTTATACATGAAGCACAAATTATTCCACCCAAGAAACAAAACATTTGAATTTCGAAACTAAAATCTGCACTTCAGTCCAAAGCAAGTTTACCCCACCCCTCCGTACTTTTGTTCAGGAATCAATCTTAAGAAGTATCTGGAAATAGCCAAATATTTACAAATTGGATGGGGGGAGGCTATTTTTCAGATTTTGAGGCAGGAGGTTTAAAACTGGTTGTTTTTAAAAACTAAGATATGTGGCTTCCACCACATTAGGGCAAAGCAAACCTATTTTACTTCAGAACCAAACAATCCCTTTTATTTGTTTGTTATTTAAGAGGGATCTAGAGGTCAGAAACAGCAGCACAAAGTCTCATCTGGCAAATTTCTCCTCTGTGAACAAGTGAACCTTCAGGGAAAGCTGCCCTGTGTTATTCTCGTGTTGTGTTTTTCTGCACTTTGCCCTAAAACAAAGAATTCCAATGAGCTGCATTTACAGGGACACTGAACTCGCTGTCAAATAAACACAAACTTTGCTTTTTTGAAAGCAGTCACTGCAAGTTTTCTCCTGCAGCTTGGGATGCCTTCCAGAAACACTGGGCTATTGCCAGGAACCTTTTTGTGACTCTGTTGAGCTCTAGAAACAGATAATTCAGTAAAGACACAGCACAAGAAATTTCTCAGTCTCTTCTGAACCTGGGGTTTTTCGTAGGAAAAAAATCCTGCACTTTACCCAAGGCTGGTAGGAAGCTCACACACTGAAGGACCTCGGTTGCACATGCAAAATTATTTGAGTGTTTTGTTGGACTTTCAGGGATCCTTCCAGTGGGCTGGAGCTCCAGGTACAAGGTCCTTCCAACAGGGAGTTGTTCACACAGGCAACCAGCCAACATATGCCAAAGGTTTGGATCTTAATTCTTCTATTTTAAAAAAAATTGCTTTAATATCTCACTTCTGAGTCAAAAGTTAAAAGAGCCCTGAAATAGAACTTTCAATTCAAAGGAAATCTGTGAGGAGACTGAATCTAGAATTTTGATTTGCTTCTAGAAAAATGAAAGAGTGCCAACAAAGGCAGATTGCAGCTCATATATTTAATTATATCCCCCTTCAGACACGTCTGAAGCAGTAGATCTCCATCAGGGAGCTGTTTCCTCACAAAAAGCTGAAGTGCTGCTTTCTAGTAAAGAGGTCTAAGCATCAACAGGTATGACGCTGAATGGGATTGTGTGGCCCTAGTGAAGACTCCACAACCTTTCCATGAGTTCACAAACTGGAGCTAACTTAATCTCCATCTATTTCTTCCATAAGATTATGACTTGCCTCTGTTTTTCCAGCCCAGTTTGCCCCATATCCACTTCCCCCTGTATTGACAGCAGTGTGCAGCTCTATTTCATTCTGAAAAACCACAGTGCAAGTCTAAAACTAAAACTATTACAAGTAGACAGATCACTAGAAAGAATCACGTCCCTAACTTGTACTGAGCTGTGTTCAGCAGGACTTACACAACGCATGCAG